GAACACAGTAGAAGTAGAAGTGCTTTTGAAGAGAGATATTTTCTGCTACGATGCCGTAACCGATGCCTAATAGCAATAGTATTGTACAGCTGCAAATACCACGGGCGTCACTAACTACAAACTAGAGACGTTCTTCTCATTCACACGGTCGGCTTAAGATGATGATCATAGAACGATGTACACCATTTGAAACGTCGACACAAATTTCTCACATTTTGAGTTGTGAAATATGTGACTTTCTGTTCGAATAATGAAATAATTTTGCAGTTCATATTGAATGTTCGTCTTGACTACCGCATCACTCGCTTACTGACCTTTTTCAAAAACGATTTTGTTGAAGATACAGTGGATGAAATGTTCACTGATTCAAGTAAACACGTTCTTGTTCAATTTCACGTGTTGCGTTTAGCCTCTTTTTGTTTAGTTATCTCTGAAACGAAGTTGATGAATTTGGTGGACAAAGTTTTTCAGTTCAAGTAGATATTTATCATTGTTTTTCATAATTGATCGCGGTTTTGAGTCTTTGATGTTTATTGACTTTTTCGGATTAAATATTTTTGGTCTTAATTTAGCAACTAAGTTCCATGCTAATCATTGAACCGTTTCTATTTTTGAATCATTTGTCCAAAGTTCGTACTTCAACAGTAATAGATTTTTCTTCAAGCGCCTGCATTTTATATTTTCTCATGACAGATCTTCAGCGACATTCATACATTACTTATACGTTTGTTCTGCACTTTATTACAGGGGAAATATATCTGGTTTTCTAAAGAGATCTGTCTTCGAACTTTGCGGACTTCCACTGGTATTCACCATTTCCCAATCACTCCTATTCTTTCTATTGATCAATAAGAAAGACGGAATGCGGAATAGCACAGACGGCGTCATTTAATACTGTTGTGCAAGTTGCTGAAAAGACTGCCTACCAGAAGAACACCTCAAAAGTATGAAATATGAATGTGGAATCGTTCTGCATTTGTCGTTTCTGATGAATTAAGCTTCGTTGACCGCGTTTGTGATTCAAAACCAGCCTATTGATCCGGTAGCATCCATTATTTGATCCTTGTGCCCGTGGAATGCACATTTAACCATTCGCTCAGATAATCAGTCAATTAAGTAAAATGTACTTAATGACCCTAAGGCTCGTGATAGATAGCAAACCCTTTCGCCTTCCTGAAGGCGATATCTTTTTTCACCGTCCTACGGATGAGATATCACGTTTTTTCAATTTCCTGCCGCAATGTTCGCTTTCATATACTCGCTGAAACAGCCCTGGCTTCCAGTCATTTGTGCGGGTACCAGCAGTCATTCTCCGCAAAGGCCTTTAACATCAAAAATCTGCCTGAATGTTTGCTTCCTTTCCGAAGTCAGTATCTGGCCCCTCAATGGCATAGCTACTTGGGATAATTTAAAGTTTGATTTGGTCTTTGTTCAAAAGCGTAACAACCAACCAGTCAGCTAAATGACCTGATCATCAACATGCAGCGAAACATATGGTCCGTAATATTATTTAATGGACTATAGCCAACAGTTGTGCTTATGTCTCACTATCCAATAAATATCAGTTGCTGTCTTCGATGATTCAGTACCATCTTATTAGGCTTATGTTATCATTAACAATCTTTATCATCTCTGGAGTCTATGAAATATTTAGGGACGAATCGAATGAAGAAATCGACAATGGAAAGTCTTGCAGCAATGATTTAGAACTTGGTGGTGATAATGGTCGTCAGATCATCCGAATTCTCCTCGAACTGATCATGGCCGATTTTCCGCCACTTGTCAGTTCAGCGCTGAACGTGTTCTTCCGCTTGTTTAATCAGAGAGCGGAGCTCCTGAACGCATTGAAGCAGGTAAAATTCTTTTTAATGGAATCATTCTTGTGTAAAGCGACTTTAAACTACTTTCTCGGTGTCTCACTTCATATTATTTTAAATAAAATGCAAACAGCGGAAATAGCACGTACGGTTCTAACCCCCTGGACAGTAACCTCGTTCGATAACCCCCTCCCGTCATGGACAGAAACCGTTTCAAGAATACAGATCTTCTACTCATCAAAAGGGATCTTGTTGAATTGCTGATGATAGTCTAGTATCTCATAAGTACTGTGACCTTTTGTCGAATTTGTAAAGTCGAACAAAGGAAATAAGAAGGTAGTTTGCGAAGGTCATGTTTACGTGGAGCAGAAAAATATGGCAGATGGAGTTGGATCGTTCAAGTGTGAAAGAAGACACAACATGGCCGAATGCAAAGTCAAAATTGAAGTTCGAGAAGAGGAGCTTGTACAGCGGTTAAACAATCATTCTCTCGGTCCAGATCCTTCTCAAAAATTAATTACCACAAGTTTTTTTCAGGTTTTGCTGGGGGTTATTGTCCATGAGAGGGTTTTGTCCGGGGGTTACTGTATAAAGGGTTTTGTCGGGTTACAAGCACATACCACTTTCAGTGGTAACTTACCTATTAGTAAAGCAAACGTGCATATGATAGACAACAAAGAAAATATCATGATAATAAGCAGGCAATAAAGAATGATGGAGAGGAAACGGATTGATATATGGAATGTTTGTGTGAATGAAGATCTAAATGCACGGTTTATCAAAGGAGGATCAATTCGATCAGATTCCTTATTTCCCGTTTCTTATTCTGCAGAGTCGCAGCCATCTGTAAGATCGACTTTTATGTATGCTCCAGGTACAGGTTTCCCTCAGAAGCGCAGGCAAACTTGCACCTTTCAGAATGACATTTCGCAGTACATTTCGAAAAGCTTGGTGCACGGGATGGACAGGACTGTTTAAAATAGATTTATCAAGCTTTAAAACAGATCTTACAGCCTGATTTACCACCACACTTATGGCGTTAATATAAGTCAGCTGACCTGATCTACTGAAATTTTGTGAACTGATCAAAATTTGTGCGGTTTTACTTTACGCAGGGAGAAGAAGTACCTTGGTAAAGCATGTGCAATTGGAGGTACTATCCAGGTTTCTTAAAAATTTCTTACTGTACACCATCCTGCGGTAATGCAAGACTAAATGAATCTGTTTCTCAGGGTTATAGCGCAACATCACATCGCCTCGTTCCTTCTAGTCGCCTAGTACGTCCGCGTAGGAGTTGATTATTTTGTGTACATAATGGCCCCCTAAGGATGGATCGAGTGCGATCCGAAACGTGTAACAAACTGTTGATACTTTGAGTTTGCGGAGTAACCCCATTTGTGATTGTGCTGATTAAGGATTATGTGCATACATGAAACAGTTCATTTATGTTTTTCAAACAAATATTATCAACAACGTGTTTATAGAT